GTATGAGTGTACTTTAAGGAAGTTCGGGGATGAATATTGTTCAATAATTGTCTTGTTCCCTCCCTCCCCGCTGGAATTTCTGTCGGACTCGTTCAAATCGGTTCCATCGTTTTACTTGGAACCAAACTGGTGGCCAGTATTTGAAATCTTCCCGTTGCTCTCCGGATCAAGTGAGTCTAATTCGAGACAAACACTGGGCGTAATCGATTCGTCTGAAAGTACGAGCTGAGCACTCAAATCTCAATGGGGCAGCAACGACGTTTTTCAGACGCGTAGTCCATAAAATTTATGCAGTACTGTCTATGGATACCGGGGAAAAAGCAATGAAAGTGTAACACCAGGACATCAGGAAGTTGGTATAGGATTCAACTAACTCAGATATCCAACTGCGATAAGCTGAGACTTCAGACGAGTTGATGGATTCAATGGCCTCCGAGTAAGACTGGCCTCGCCCAATTGGTGAGTGCCACTTGTTGTGACTTCGTTTGGGCTGTGGGTCTCACTTGTGCTTGAGTCGGTATTTATATCAGTCCTGTATTTATTTATTGGTTCTCTTACACTCCTGGCCTTTGGGGTTATTGGTTTTTGGTCTATTGCACTGCATAAATGGAAACTCTCAGGAGTGCGGTTCACATCACAACCGTTAGATTTCCCACTTCAGTTTACACACGATGCATATTCACGTTGACTGGGGGGTGAAAGGTGTGAACATGGAACTGGCTGTGATGTAGCTTTTGGGGATATGATGACCAGGGCTTCCAAGATGAAATATTACAATCACATTTCACGGATGTGATCTGCTGACCACATTCTACACACCAAATGCACGAACTAAATTCCTCGGTTGGTTGAGGTGCATGATTAGGCATCAAACTGCGGTAAGGGAAACCAGTTGGTCAATGACTAACACACATGAAGCAATCGATAAAACAAGAAAAGACTTTCGCTTTAGCGCGTACTGTTGTAACTCATTGTGTGTGTGTGTGTATGCTAGTGAGCAGGCTAACGGAGCTGGACAAAGTGGCACTATTCGTCTACTGGGAAGCTGCGCCGAATTCCTACACAACTCACCTACTCAGATAGCATTTCCCATGTCAGCTCAAACACACCATCCACCCATCTCTCAAACACAGGAATTACAGGTGCAAGACGAGGGGTATATGTTTTGCCATCCACAGCGAATGTAACCCTTAACCGACATAACCCGGCCGGACATTCCTGCGACTGAAAAATTCTACTCAGGTGTAAAAGCTGTAGAGTTCTTTGCCCACCCTCTAAACAAAGAAGAATGTTGTACACAACCTACGATTCAACAGGTAACATTGAAAGGTTCTGACCTGAGACTAAATTTTTGGCCGTTCACTAATGGCTGAATCTCCCAGTGGTGACAGTGAGCTCAGCCAGTAAAATTTGTTCCTCATTTTGGCATGCACGGATGAGTTGAGTTACGTCGCGCAGTTTTTGATAAACCGTTGCGGCTTGCGATTGTGAGGTCAGAGCATGCAGAATAACGAGGACGTAATCATTCATCAATGGTTGGGATTTTTTCTTTAGAGTTGTTTCTTGTTCAGAGTTGAGAGAGGAGATTTCAGCTGCCGAGTCTATCCTGCAGGAGAACTTTTATGGTCGGGGAAATCAACTCTTCCAGGGGTGAAATTGCATGTTGGGAAGTCGGCTGTTTGTAGCACACGCATCTGGATAAGTAATTTAGCACAATGGGAATTCCCTTTTCTGGGGCATGCTCACTCAATTCTATACGAAGTCCTGCTTTCCATTCGTATATTTAACACGGACCATGTTGATGGACCTCGAAAATAAGTTCGGCAGAGGCAAGCCCATGCAGGTGATTCAAGGCTCTCTCCATGAACCAACTTTGTTCCCACAGTCTAGGATAGCCCGTATGTGACTGCAGCCTTCTAACCTCAACGTGGATCACATAAAACGTTTGCTTGCCTGCGTAAGAGTGCCAGATCCTTATCAGTTAATTGACAGGGAAGTATGAGTGTACTTTGAGGAAGTTCGGGGATGAATATTGTTCAATAATTGTCTTGTTCCCTCCCTCTCCCTGGAATTTCTGTCGGACTCGTTCAAATCGGTTCCATCGTATTACTTGGAACCAAACTGGTGGCCAGTATTTGAAATCTTCCCGTTGCTCTCCGGATCAAGTGAGTCTAATTCGAGACGAACACTGGGCGTAATCTATTCATCTGGAAACTTGCTGTTGCATTACTGCGCGTTCAGATTGTCGATGCGGAACTTTGAGTGATGAGTAGGTTAGACAATTCCGAATGTCAAATGGATCCATTGGGTTCGAAATTCTACGATACCACTTACTATTTGCGCACTAGGCTCGAACGGGACGGCATTTTCGTCGAATACAGATGAGCAAAACACGTGAGCGGATTGAGCAAATGGATGGTGGGGGTATTATGAAATCAAGCTAGATTCAATACTGGGGGTCGCTAATTTGTGTTACCAAGATATCTCAGTACGTGTTACAGTCACTAAGTTAGTAAAATGACCAGTATGTAAAAGGTGTGTGTTATGGCCTATCTTGCACCCAGGAGAACAGAGTATTGCAGTGATTTGATTTCTGTTCATATGCGACATGACGGCCTGCAGATACAAAGCTGACAAAGAGGTCCAGCCATAGAGGGTACTAGGCGATGAGGCTGGTTGCGGTTTGTGTTTTTTTGAAAGTGCGTCCGCACGTGATGACAAGCGCACAAGTCCATACTTGTATATGTAACTTTTCATGCTCGGATCTTCGAGATAGTCTGGATTCTGTACCATATCAGACTTCCTTTTGTGGTAGCCGAAACTGCTTTGACCACTCCTTTCTTTGTGGTTAGTGAGCTCCCATATCACGCTTCCGGATTCTTTTCATTCAGTGGCGAAATTACTTGTTAACTCTCCTGGATGCTCTTTCCCGAGGGTCGAAAATGGACTGACGTGTGTCTGATGTTCATGCTGATCTGCTCATCTCCAAATGAGCTAACCAGCAGCAATCATGGGAACCAAGGTGATGTGAATCTTCGAATTTAGTCACCTCGCGCTGTGTTGCAATGAGAAGTTTCAGTACGGCAGACTAAAGCTCTTTTTCACCCTTGTGAGATTTCGGTTAGATGATGCAACTGAGTGAATATCATTGTCCCCGAGTAAAACGAGAAAAGACCTTCAGCGGACCAGAATATGCCACTGAGTTGATGTTAGACCACCCCGTAAGTATTCGGCTGGTGATTTCAGCTCATCACTTCCTGCGTTTCTGAAAATGCCTAGTAGCAGCACAGTCCCTCAAGAACAGAACATCTAAAAGTGCCTTTGCTACTTTGAGTGGTGGGATGTCGGATAGAAGTGCAAAACGATTCCTGTGTGTTTTGTTGAAAAGAGTTCGTTCGAACGAGTATGCATCGTTCATGGATACCTCGTTAGCAAATGCTCACCAGGTTACCCTATTCAAGAAGAGTGGTTGAAAAAACACAGAAGATGATGTGCACTGAGCGTGAACGAAAAGAACACGGTAGGGTGCTGCATTAAACAAGTGATAACGTGACGAACGGATACTGACCTGTCAGGTAAGCCCGAAACGCGTCATTCAGTCTTGGAAATTGCCGGGCAGCGCAGCCCAGAAATTTACTCAATATGGTCCACTGTGGCTATTTGAAGACAAAGTAGTGCGCTTCTGTAGATACCCTACCTGCATTCGTGGTTTACCATCACATCTACAAACAGTGGTCTCCTCACATCCAACGGAAGATTACTCAATTATATGGATGTATATATTGGATCCAGTCGACTATACATACGCAGTGTTTTCCAACTTATCGTTCCGGGGGCGCATGCGGTCCCGTGCATTGCATTGTATATCATAGTACCGGATATATCTCATTGGATTAAGAGTGAGCAAGACTGCTCTGGCAATGGCCTGACATAGTTCTAATCTAATTCAAGGGGCAAGTACCAGCGAAGTGACATCAGCTAAACAAACACACTCACATTATCATGTCTGGCAGGTAGGCCGACCGAGATTGCTAGTATGTTCCCGGTGTCTGCGTTACGCTCAGCATGGTCAAATGTTATTTCCAGGCGTGGATGTGTTAAACCGACCAATTCAGTTATTTTCTGGCTGTACGATACACGCGTCACCACTTGATCCCGTATACCTACGATTTCTTGTTAGCTTCGCCCTACACTTCCCGTCTGGTAGGAATTTGTAGCTCGCAGTGTATGCGCCACTAGTAATTAGCTGCAGTGGACTAATGTAGTTTGATCAATGTCATCGTATAGTCATTGGTTCTTTTGGTCTGCAGTTCGCGAGTCTAATGAGGGTGTTCTGCTTGCTTCAGGTTTTGGGAGAATCACACCACATAAACGTTCAGCGGTTTCCTTTTCACACCAAGTTTTTCCCCGACATTTACTGGCCCTCTTGCTTTTGAGGCCATTACTACTACTCGAATTTGAAATCAAGACATCATTACACAATCGTGCGAAAACGACTGGTAGCCAATGTGCAGAGCGTTCACTCCACAAGCCTCGACGCAGTTCAATAGAAACCCACAAGAGTCTTGTGGAAAAATAAGTCCAAGTAATGTTTTGTTAGTCCGGAGCATCTGAGCCCCTATGGGACCCATTAGAGTTTGCCAATGGAGAGCACACTAACCGGGGTTGAAAGCCACAAACTATCGTCTATAACCCTGCTGACAGCCCATGCGTTCCAAATTCGAATAGTTGCGCAACATATGGTCAGCAGAAAAGTTGTTTCCCATGGGTTGTGATGTTCAGAGGTGCTATCGCAAAGTGTCCCGTCATCCTGTTGGTTTTTACTCCTACTTGCAATACGGAACTTACCTGAATGCACATTGTATCTTTGAGTGAACTCTCTTGACTTCCCAACAGCCATTTATCGGGTCACCCTACAATACAATCTCACCTTGCGAAGGCCAGTTTTTTCTGAACTGTTCCACAGCTGAGAAGTTGTGCACGGATGGAGAGAATTGACACTACACCCCTTCACCCACACGCCATGGTTCTCCGGTATGTAGTCTGGCACGATAAAGGCTGTTTATACTGGTGAACGTATCTGAGTCGGTCATCTGATCACGGTCGAAATCATTGAGAAGATGCGAGTTTTTTCCAATTAGAAATGCGTGTACACCGTGGAGCTCGTGATAGTCCGCACAAACTTTGTGTGCTTCGCAGTATGAGCGGACTGAACCGTTGCGAAATAAGCATACGTTGGGTGCGAGTTCTGCCACATTTTCAGGACAGCTAGGCTCGCACTTATGCGATGTGATAATCAGTATCAACATTAACAGCGGGACCAGGTAAGTCATTTCGTGCTTTTCATGAATGGTTAGAACCGCACGTTTGGGATCCGATTTGTCCCGTATACACACAACTAGCCAAACTGACAGTCGGTGTATTTGCGAAGAATCTTATCTGTTCGAGCCTGTCGCTCACTGGTTGACGAACGGATGGTTTGTGTTTGACCAATCAAAAACGACCACCTTCAAGGTTACTTTAACCGGCACTTGGCTCCCTCAAATCAAATATGCCGGGCTCTGTTGCTACCAATCAGCTTTTGTCCTTGTCACCACTCTGCCGCACCTTTCACCACAGTCTCAACAGTCACATTCTAAATTACAACAAACTGAAAAACAGAGAATGATTCGTGCCAGTGAAAGATAGTTGATTTGTCTCTTTCTTATTTTCATGTTTTTTTATCACACGATACAACTGAGATAGATGCCAGATAACCATCACGCACTCAACCCAGTCATACAGATAAAGCCAATAAATGTTACTGGGAGACTGGTAATCTGATCGGCTGGCCACGATCAAATTGACTTCGCTATGAGGATGATGTGTGTGAACTTATGGTGGTCTAAATTAAGCAGGCGCATTAAATCGGAGTACCTCGGTTCAAGAGACCATTTAGTTGGTATGGAATTTCAGCCCTCACATTGTTCTCTGACAGGTGGAGCCTTTCCTTGCAGATAAGAGAATTTTTCCGACTGTCAAACTTGTTCATTCAACGTTTCAATAAGATTATCATCATGAAATTGCTATCAGCCTGTTAGGCACAGTACCCCTTCGACTGATGCTTAAAACGACCGGAGTTTTCAACACCGTTTCCTGTCGTGGCAGCCGCGAATTTAGTCGCTACATGCCATCGCTCTGTGGACTGCGGTTGGGACCTGTCCATATTTTCACCATTTGCTTCTCCAGCTGTAAATCGTCGAAAACTTTGTTTATCAGTTGACTTGTTTGCCGCTCTGAGTGATGTGAAGAGTAAAGTAACCACTGCTTCGTCTTGTTCAGTGGTTGTATGTGAGAATTGAGTTTCGTTCGTATATCGGTACAACCCGACAAACTAGAAATCCAGAATTCAGCGAAGCGTAACAACCAGCACGTATGTATTCGAATTGGCGAATATGTACAGCATATGGAATATT